AAGCTCTAGAATCCCATTTTCTTCTAATCAAATTCAGTTCCTTTTATCCGAAAATGTTGTTACTATTTCATATGGCTAAGATACAACAGCACACATGGCTTTTACTCAACCTGCTGACTCTGACATGGTATTTTCTTCCAAAATGTGAGCAATTGGCATTTTCACTGCTTCAAAATTCACGACTATTTCTCAGTAATTAAAAGAGTAAACATTCTCATTCCTGCTCTTCTTAGACCTATGCACCACTTTCCATTGTAAGACCTCTAGTTTTGGTTCTTTGAATCACATCATGGGCCTCCTTCTCTATTGGTCATGTACTTAAAAGCTTGGTAAGCAACTCAATAAAAAGGTTCTTAGTTAAATTTTCTAATTGGAACAATTTAAATGACTGTTTCAGAGATGATAATTTCATTCTTTAAAACATAACAACATGAATGTTAGTTTATCATATAGTCTGTCAATGTACATTTCATGTAATTTAAGTACCTAACAATTATGTTTTATTAAATAAAGTGATATGCAAAGATAAAAATATACATGAACATGTATTTTTAAACTTGAATTGGAGATTCTTCCTTGAGTGACCTTTGTTTTTTTTCTAATGTTTTGAGACATTTTCATGCAAATGGAATTAAATTTTTCAAGACTCCTTTAACTCAACTATGGAAGATGTGTAGCCAAATAAATGATAAACCAGAATTGGATACCATACTCCCCACCCATGAATAAAAGTGCAGTAGAATTTGTTAAGCTACATCTCTCTGATACACACAAATTTCAAATGCATACCAATAATTTCTAATGTTTTGAGACATTTTCATGCAAATGGAATTAAATTTTTCAAGACTCCTTTAACTCAACTATGGAAGATGTGTAGCCAAATAAATGATAAACCAGAATTGGATACCATACTCCCCACCCATGAATAAAAGTGCAGTAGAATTTGTTAAGCTACATCTCTCTGATACACACAAATTTCAAATGCATACCAATAAAATAAATTTATTTATAGATGGAAAATGTTACATAATACTGAGAAATACTGCATATTATATAATTTTCATTTAGTTTGTGTTTGAAATATAAATTTAAATACTAAGTCAATTCTGATGCTTGAAACAAAAGCCACAAATTTTCATACCCAATGGTTAAAAATACAATATATGGAGGTATAGTTAAGATACAGCTTTGGAAACTATCATCTTTACTATAACATCTCTCACTTTACATATTAAAGAAGAGCAAGCAGGTGTTAGTTTTACCAAACTCTATCATGCCAGCAAATAATGAGAACATTCAACTAAATATAATTGTTAACAGGGCACATTTCTCTTAAAATGGAAGACAATATTTGTGTGTGAGCTATTCATGAGAACTTGACGTAACTTATGAATGAACTATACTTTATTTGAAATAAAAACACATAATAAATGACATTAGTCCTGTGATATTATTTTTAGTAAAATCAGCCCAAGTAGTGCATATTAACATCACAATTAAACTAACTTTAGAAAGAAAGAAGAAAGGAAGGAAGGAAGGAATGAAGAAAGAAAAAGAAAGAAAGAAAGAAAGAAAGAAAGAAAATAGGCTTTCACCAGAGATTTTATCTACTCCACATTCAAATCTAGAAAGTAAACAAATCAGCAAAAAAAAATGCAGTTTGCTTATATGTTGCTCTTTGCCTTAAGTGTTTAAAGGCTATACTAGATAAATGTTCTATTCTCAGCTGCCAACCACAAACTACAGCCATGTACACTCTCCAAGCTCATGCCATGTGTGGCCGCTGAGTATAGCGGATAAAGAAAAGAATTTAGGTGCTATGGAAAGAGGGGAAATTTTTTCACTTTCTCACATAGTCTGCCAGAAAACATGTATTTTTCTTAATTAGAATAAATCAGAAAAAGAATGATCTGAGCAATGCTTTCACTTTCTCTTTATTCATGGGCCCATGAAAGAAGACATCTGTTATGTGAAATACTTTGGTCCCAAACTCGAAGAGTAGCACATACAAGAAATATTAGATGTTATCTCAAGGAGATTTCCTAGCATAATGTGATATGGAATATCAAAATGTCATTAACAGATACATTTGGATTTTCAGTGTTTTAAGATTATATAAAATAAAGCAAAGTCATTAGGGAAGAAATATTTTCATGTTTTTTCTTGCCTAGAATGTACATTCACTAACAGATAGATACACTCCCCTGAAAATAAACATAGCAGTCACATTCAGATTTCAGAAGTGAAAGGCAGGGATCTACATATCCTAGGGAAATATAAGAAATTCATTCATTCATTCTTTCTTTCTTTCCTTCTTTTTCTTTCTTTTTTTTTGGGGGGGGTGCCAAGGATTGAACTCAGGTCCTTGTGCTTGAAAGGCATGTGGTAGAACCACTGAGCTAAATTCCCAGCCCAAAATCTGAAATTTGTAACACATGTAGTATGACTTCAAAATGAAAAAGCATTAAAAATATATCTGAGAATATAACTTAGTGGTAACGCATGTGGTTAGCAGGAATAAGGCCCTGAATTAAAACCTTAGAACTGAAAAAAAATAAGTAAAAGAAAAAAGAACAGCAAATATGTACAGAGTCCTCCAAAAAATGTTTATACACTTCAGGAAAAGAAAAAATAGTATGACTTTTTTAACTCCCCCCTTCTTGTGGGGAACCAGAGAGGATGTCTTGTGTTACAGAATACCCATTACACTACCAGCCCTTGCAGAAGAAGTTGAAAATGCATGTGCAGCAATCACAACACCAAGGTTACCCAAGCAGCAGATTGCCATACTATTAAATGTCTGGAAGCTAATGGCCACCACTCTGAGCAACTCTTATAATTGAAGAGGCCTAACGTAATTTATATTACTCTCATGATGTCTGAATAAATTTAGTAATAAATATGCATATGAGTTTTCCTTTTACTGAAATGGTATACATTTTTTGACAGGCTCTGTATATATGTATAGATAAGTAGGGCAACAAATAAATGTTTTACAGTAGACTGTATGAAGCAAAAAGTGATTCACATGATTAAAATATAATCTTGCTTACATAGGTGACTGAATTTTCAAGTCATCCTGTTAATGGATGGCTAGTTTAAACAATTCTCATGCAGTCAGTGCAGTTCCATGTGAATTGATCATTTCATTCTGTTATTTTATTTTATATTTATTTATGTTTAATGAGCCAAGCTTATTAACTGGATGACATCCGAATTAGCACATGTTTAGAGTATAAAAAGTAATATGAACAATGATGCAACTTTTCCTTAACCTTCAAAAAAGATAATATGAAAAAATGAACATGACAAGAATCTAAACACTGCAGTTTGCCTCTATTTGTCATATGCAAAAAATTTACCATAACTGCTTTGAGAAACATGTTATAGTCCCATAAGGTTTAGTTTCATCTTATATTGTTGAGTTTTAGAAGACCACCAATGGTCAAGCTTCTGGAATGTGTTAGGCTTCTACCTTTCAAAACTTATTATAATTACAACTTGTTTTGGATTTTAAAAGGCCATGGTACATGAAATACTAGGCATTCAGTTTTACGCTTTAAATGTTTTACTAAGTATTGTGTACCGTGGCAGGGAGACACCAAAATATTTAAAAGTCAGATCTGGAAAATAAATCAGCATGAACACTGATTTTATCAAACCCTAAAATCAACTATTTTCACCCATGAATTATAAAACCAGGAGTATATTTAGACAAAACTAGTATAGTGTTTTATACAATAACTCTAAGTAATAGAAAATTATACCTGCTTTTAAAAGTTTGTCATTGGAAATCAGTACAGCTAGGTCCTTGAGGTTATGTCTCGCAGGACAATACCTAGAGCTTTGGCACTAGATAGCCTTCATAAAAATCTATCTGAAATTGCAACCAATCTCCATATAACAGTACAGATTTTCATGTCATATTTTCAAGGTACTTTTCTGATATTAAGTGAAAATTACCTAATTTACTTAAAACTGAATTTTGAATATAAATAAACCTGCTATCTATGAGATTGTGCTTGAAATGCTGTAACAAAGTGCTAAAATTAGAAGAATACTGTAGTAACATCCTTTGTAAAAGGTGAGAACACTTTCAACTTTTCTGATAATAAATTCAGACTGTTCCCAGATTTCAGACTTAGCTATATTTCAATGTTGACATCTCATGAAGGGTGATAATGACAAGTAAGGGAAAGGCAGAGATTTAGCAATTTTGCTTTGAAATCTGTCTCTCACAGAGTTTGCATTTTCTAACCATATGCAAAAACTGACAAGCTCCCTTAAAAATGATATTTTTTTCACCAACTTTTCCCTAATGTTCCTGAATTTAAAGACTAATGAAAGTTAAGACAAGCACCTCCTCAGGAAAATTTGACAAGTGATGAGGTCAAAGATCAGAGAAAATAGGCCAGAGGGGAGAACAGCAGCACATCATTATCACAGATTTATCACAGATCTTTTCAGATAGTTTCTTTACTTTAGAATTCCTGAAGATTCTGAATATTTTTTTTTTAGATTTTTTTTTGACAAGGTCTTGCTGTAATTCAGGCTGGCCTTGAACTCACTGTATAGCCCAGTCTCACCTTGAACTCTCAGGATCCTCCAGCCTAAAGATACCCAAGTGCTGTGATTACAGGAGTGTACCACCACACCTGTCAGATTCTGAAATTAGAAATTAGTTATCTTCCACAATACTCACATTTTTAAAATATTGTATGATTTTTTTTCCTCCACATATGATATATAAAGCCTAAGGCTTATAATCAGAACTATTTCTTAAGATATTATGCCCTTTACAGCCTCTTTAGTTTTGTATTCTTCAAGGTTTGTTAGAAAAGAAAAACATAAAAGCCCTTCAGTATGTCCATGATTCAGATGCACTGATTTGCTCCTAAGGCAGTTGTTTCCATCTCAAGGAAGATCACACAGGTGAAAAGTGCTGAATCCTGAGTGTCTTTTCCTGAGAAGGCCCCCACCAAGGGCTTGAGCAGATACTGTTACTGCCCCTCTATGGCATCAGCAAGCAGTCCTTGGTCTAGGCAAACTGGACAACAGGTACCTTTCACCAGTTCAGGACTAGAACACGGAGCTGGAGGACACATTTGCACCATGCATGTGACTTGGCCACTCTGAAAGGCAATATGCAAACATCACCCCATGTTTCTTACCATAAAGTTACTAAAGACAGAAACTTTCCCATGATGCATAATCTGATTAGCTATCTCAAGCTAATAACAATCACCTACGGCCTGAGCTAATGTTTGCACATGGTTTCTATTCGTTCTTCTTTTCTTCACATGTGCAGCATGAAGAGCAAGGTAGCAGTGCAGCGCTCCATCATGTGATCTGTGATATTACATGGCACGGTTTGCAGGAAGAATTTCACGTATTTCCAGAGAGCTGGCAGAATCTTCTCTGCTCAAAAAGCAAACAAGACCACAACTGGGAATTTTCTCATTTAGGTAGATTCAACAACACATTTTTATAGAAACTGTGTTGTTTAACGAATACTTTCAGGCAACATTTTGATAAGCTTGCCTGGAGAATAACGGATAACTTCAAGTCTGTTTCTGCCTCAGTTTACTTGTGTAACCTGAAGTGAAATAAACATCCTAAACTCCTTCATCTGTTAGTGAAAATATAAAAGGCTCCCATCATATCAGGCAATTAATTACTCATTAGATTGTAGCTACATTTTTGTCAACAGTGAGAAGCCTTGAAATCCCATACCACTATTCTGATCATAAAAAAAAATGGCTAGTATCTATTCACAAAGAGGATTTTTTTCTGTTCTTGAATTTTTCAGCTGTATTTCAACCTGCTGGCTAGAAGAAGAAAAGCGTGGAAATAATGGGAAAATTCCGGTAGCCCATACCTCACAGGTACAGAGCCCGCAGTCCCCTTTCATCCAGCGCTCTTGGTCGTGCCTTTGTGTCCCTTCATCATCTGTGCATCCCGCCTGCCTCAGGCGGACCTCCAGCTTGTTTATCTGAAAGAGGGGAGGAAAGGAAAGTGGGGATTGAAGCAGGTAGGTAGCAACAAAGCTGATAAGTAACATAGTTTGATGAAATGGTCTATTCTGTAAGCACACTTCTAGAAGGCAAAAGAAAGTTCAAAGCCCATATAATTTCTCTTAAAATTTCTCCCCAAACTTAATGAATCTCAACCATCCACTGGCCAAACCAGTTCCCTATGTAAGGGACAAATTGAACAGTGATTTGATTTAGGCTTTGAAACAGATGATTCCTAAAAGAAATGAAATTAAAGTCAAATAAATAAATTACATATTTGGAAGATCTCAAAAGTAGCAACATTAATTTAATTAACCAATATTCTGTTTCTTTTTCATTACTTCATCTATCATAAACAACATTCACTTAACAAATATTTATTGTTTCAAATGTGAAAGCAAATAACACAGGGTCTTGAGGTTATGATCTAGTTGAAATACAGATCAATGAGCTATACCTATGAAAGCCAAGTAGATAATGAAGACTTGTCCATAGTGGGACAGAGGAGAAGCTGCAGTCAGCTCTCCCTCAGCAGTCAGGGGAGGTTTTATGTTACTTACATGACTGAAAGGTATCTCCCAAACTCATGGGTTGAAGCCCTAACCCAACATGACTATCTAGAGACAAGGCCAATACCTAGGAAAGACTGTCAACATGCAAGTGGAGTTCTCATCCAATTTTGCCAGTGTCCTTAAAAAAGGAGAAAGAGAAAGTAGCAGTGCAGACAGAGGCAAGACGAGGTGGGAACACAGAAGGTAAACAGCAGCAAGCTAGAAAAGGGCCTCAGGGGAAACCAACTGTATAATAGCTTGATCTTGGACTTTGATGGCTCCAGAAGTGTGACGAAGTAAATTTATGCCGTTTAAATCTTCAGCCTACGGTATTTTGCTATGATGCCTGGGAAGACTAATCCCTTACAGAAGAAAACACTGTTTGAGCTGTGAAAGATGACAGTCTCTCCTGAGAACAAGGAGAGAAAAGATATTTTCGGGGGGTGAAAGAAATTATATGTCCTAACCCTAAAACCACAAGCAGATAAGTATTTCAGGAACGAAAAGTCATACTGGGGGAGGGCTGTCAAGTAGACTCAGAAGAAATGAAGCTGGATAAGTGAGCAACAAAGGAAAGTAAGACCATGAAAATCACATAAATTAATTGAATTCGATATTTTAAACAAAAGGAATACCGCAGTGCCTACTGCAGTAGCAATATGAATGACTGACTGGTGAGATCTGGAAATGAAAGCAGAGGAAGGGACATGATCAGCATAAGTCAAGTGAAGAAAGAGGGAGAATCAAAAGAGCCATTTAACAGATCAAGCTGCTTGGCAGGCTGAGGCATGGAGAGAAAGAGAAGCGTCCAAGATGCCACCAAAGACCAGGTGCATAAATGATAATTACATTTCCTAAGATATTATTCCAGAGAAAATGCTGCAAAAGAGTCATAACATGTGGGGCTATTAAGGAGGTAGGTGGTTTTTTTAAATGAGAGACATTATATAATTTTCATAAAAGAAGACACTAATTCCAAAAACACTGCATTGACTTGTAAAGGATTGTTGCTGGGTTGGCATGGGTTGATAGGTATTCCACATAAAATCTGAAAAGCAAGTCCTAATCCCTAGTATCCCACGCTGTATTAGAAAAGAAAGAATATGTAAACAAAATTGTGGTAAGCTGAAATCACTAAGGTGGGGCCTAACCCAAAATAAGTTATTTCCTTCTAAGAAAAGACAATCAGGACATAGACACACAGACAGAAGACATTGTGAAGAGCCAGGGGCAAGGTGGGCAAGAGAGAGGCCTCTGAAGGGACAATCTGACCAATACTTTGATCTTGGACTCGCAGTTTCTAGAGCTGTGAGAAAATGAATTTCTGTTTTTTAATAGACCTAATCTATAATTTAGTTTTTTTCTTTTTATTGAGTTTATTGGTACAATCTAGTTATACAATACAGTTACATTCATTACTGGGATCTTGTACCTTTACATGACAGGACTTGGTTCTTATTTTCCCCCTTGTCCCTGCCCTCCGTTCTCCCCCTCCTCATTTACAAACACTTTATTTCCATTTTTTCATTTTCTCATATTTTTTTCTTTTCCCTTATTCCCTTTCCCCTACCCTTCCCACTTTCCCTACACCTTTAGCCCTTTTCTTCCCATTTCATATTATTAATTATACCATTAGGATCTTGTGTACTATTATAGCTTTTCTATAAAAAAGACCTAATCTATAATTTTGACTATGACATCCTTACCAAACTAATGCAAGCACCACTGTGGCAGACCCCATATCTTTAAATGACCTTTCTATTATATTATACTGTAACCATAAGTAATCATCTGTCTTTTTTTTTTTCTTTTTTGGTACCGCAGGTAGAATTTGGGCCCTTGTACTTGCTAGGCAGGGGCAGAACCACTGAGCCAAACCCCCAGCACTCATCTGTCTATTTCTTAATAATTGTTCCTTTCGTATTCTTCTGATCTCATTATTTGGTTGTGAATTGTTAATATTTTCAGGTACTGACCAAATACTGGCAAAAATCATTGTGCCCAAGAAAACAATGGAAAGAACCATGAACAGGCTTGATGACCATAAAAGGGATGATTTATATAAACACAGCTATAAAAAATAATTATATATTTTTAGCACCTGCTGTTTGAGAAATTGTCAGCTAAGCCAAGAGGAAACTGAAATGATAAATGATCCAGAGTTATCTGTTCCTAAGGAATCTTCAATCTGTCGATTGTGCCCAAGAAAACAATGGAAAGAACCATGAACAGGCTTGATGACCATAAAAGGGATGATTTATATAAACACAGCTATAAAAAATAATTATATATTTTTAGCACCTGCTGTTTGAGAAATTGTCAGCTAAGCCAAGAGGAAACTGAAATGATAAATGATCCAGAGTTATCTGTTCCTAAGGAATCTTCAATCTGTCGTCTGTCGAG